ATTTTTAAAGAGCAGGAAAAGCTGACAATGCTGTGTGTGTCTGGAGGGAGTGTGATGTGGCGGTAATGCCCAGGTCACGTAAAGACTACATGGAAAGACACGCACATAGCCTCATGAGGAAGCCCACACAGTTTTCACATATAAATATAGAATAAAATAGGTTTTGTGAAAGAGGAGGAATAAAACACAGAGAGAAAGAGATAATAAAGGATATGAGAAAGTAAGATTAGATCCAGAGATCCTGCTCTCATTGGCACCGGCTATACTGAAACACTGCAGAAACTAAAGGAATTATTCCACCCATGTGTCTGACAAGGGCTCTGTAAGTGCTTCTGTTGTCTGCCCACTTACCCTGTCATCTTTCACTCTCGATTTCAAAGACATCTTTGTGTGTGGTCTCAATAGTGGAGGAGTTTGTCATGCCATACTTCACATAGCCCAGTGAATAGTGTGGTGTGTGTGTGTGTGTTTATGTGCGAAAATGTGACATTTCTTATAAATGTTCTTTCTAAATTAAAACTGATCAATATTAACAGTGACAGAAGTCATGCATGATCTGTTTTTAAAGGATCTGTTCAGTAATCATGAGCCGGTGCTCCTCTAAGGTCATGGTTCAATGTAAATGGATTGTTTTATAATTGCTGCATTAGTAGAGGAATAGACTACTGTAATAGGATTTGTCTCATGGTGTAGAAGCTTCCAGCCATGCTGATTACTGAGCAGATAAAGCAGTGCTGTGGACACAAAGGATTACGCAAGCTGTCATGAGACATGTGGACATGTGTGCTGAAGAGACACATGCATTTATCTACATAAAACATCATCTACTCACCATATACAGGAGGTGATCTTGTGTATACGGTGGAACATGGCGTCATTCGTGGTTTGCAGAGGCCTTTGGTACAAGATTTGACAATAATGGTGAGGAAGAGCCTAAAGACCAGCTTACAATTAATTTCCATGCTGGTCCAGGTTGGATTATCCTGGACTATCTGGTGGCTGAGCAAAGCTATGTTGTTCACCAGCAAAACTAATATGGTCAGAGATCCCACCTTGTCCACATTGCCCCTTATTATCCTCCATCACTCAAAAATGTCAAGTCATTATGTGATGTGAGACACTTTGTTCCATTATTTCAGTGGTGTCTGTGCCTTCAGTGTGTCTGAAGGGAAGACAGCGTGCTTAGGTATAGCTGGGCCGTCGTCATTACTGGTCTCCATTTAATGCTTGTGGGTAATGTGGCCTTCCTCAACTCTATTTGGAGATAAATGTTACTTGAACTCTGTCTGGCCTCCTCTCATCTGCTGTTCTGCCTTCAGTTATTAGTAAATCCTCCTTATATGGTTGGCTTCCATTACCATACTTGTCAATGAACATACAGATTTTTACTTTAGACATTTACACTACAGTACAAACATTTGGGGTCAGTAAGATTTTTTTAAATGTTTTGCAAAGAAATATTTTATGCTCACCTAGGCTGCATTAATTTGATCAAAATACAGTGAAAACAGTAATATTACAATTTAAAATAACGAAACCTAAGTCTTGCCATTTCTTTTGTCCTTTTAGATATTTAGTTGAGTGTGTGTAGGTCAGGATTGCCTTCATTGTGAGGACCTGCCAACACTTTTCTCTACTATGTAATTTAGTCTTCCTTGTAAGCATTCCGAATTTATTTGAGTGGATCATTTTTTTATTTGGACTTGAGTAATTTTAGGCTTTGGTTTACTTATGTGTGTGTACTAAGTTTAATAGCATGTTGTCTATCTGTCTGTCGTTCCCTCTCTAGGAAACCTTTTCCAATTGGGGACAGAGTGACGTTCAGTGGTAAAGAATGTGTCTGTCAGCACTGTTCCCTCAAGCTGGTTAATTCCAATGAGCCAATCAAAATCCATGGGCCCAGCCGTAAGTCCCATCCTTCAATTTAAACATTTTCCTATCCATTTGCATGACGTGAGGTCCACATGTTTGTGTGTTCGTGTAGATTAGGACTAGCCAACAGTTCTAACAAAGAAAAAAAGGCTAGACAAATAAGTATAGTAAACCGTATATAAGTATTTTGCCAAATCTGCCACTCAAAAGTTGAGTGTGTGGGTGTGTGTGTGTGTGTGTGTGTGTGTGTGTGTGTGTTTGGAAATTCACATTCATAATTCTCCATCTCTTGGGTGTTTTCAGTAGTCTTCCTTATATATATATTTTTTTTGTTTTGTTTTTTTTCTGACTGCCTGGGAGCTAAAATCCTCCATATGGCTGTATTGACCTGCATGTCTCTGAGGGGAGAGAACAGACCCCTGTTCAGGGGCGGACTTAACCAATAAGCGAGGTAAGCGGCCGCTTAGGGTATATATATATATTTTTTTTTTTGTTTTTTTTCTGACTGCCTGGGAGCTAAAATCCTCCATATGGCTGTATTGACCTGCATGTCTCTGAGGGGAGAGAACAGACCCCTGTTCAGGGGCGGACTTAACCAATAAGCGAGGTAAGCGGCCGCTTAGGGCCCCGGGGAATCAGGGGGCCCCATCTGATAGGCCTATTGGCGAAACATATTTGTAGCATTGAGCAATGTAGCCAATCACAGACATATCATTTAATTTCTTGAACGTAATGACCCGAAGTGTTTAAGTTAGAATCCACTCACCGCTCAAAATGCCAAGTTTTTGTCAAGTGCTGAGTTCTGCAAGCTCGGGAATCCTCTCATTATAACAAAGTGTAGATACGATGTAAATAAGAGATTAATTGTGCCGTGTAGAGAGCTTATTAACGGAATGTGTGAGATCGCAATGAACTGAAGTGACAGCTTTTAGTGATTATATGAGGGAGCGCTCTTTTCGCACATTCTAGGCTGTATAATACTGTCTGACTGTCTCAGAACAGGGATATTCACCTCAGTAAAGAAATTATTGTGTTTCAAGTCATAATTTGATTTTTCTTGATGTTTCAAAATGACTCGCTGGCTTGTGTGCTTTTCCTAGGCACGCTGGCACGAACTGCCGCGTATTCGTAAAAATCCACGAATGCAATGACTAGAGATTTTCGCTTAATAATAGGCTAACTTAGATTACATTTTTGATTTGTTTCTCAGCAAACCCTACCGTATGCCTTCAGAATTGATGAGTTGCATGGGATAATTTTATGTTAGTAAAACATTTGACTAATTACTGGTTGTGAAGGGATAAATAAACTATAAACTATGAGAGCGAGCAAGCAAAATAAGGGTTAGGAGTAAAAGAGCACATAGTTATTCTGTTGGGGCCCCATCCCTGGAATTTGCTTAGGGCCCCCAAATCACTAAGTCCGCCCCTGCCCCTGTTCAACAGATTAGAAAATGTGTAGTGTCTGGGTAAACAGAGGCAAAATGCTGTGAAGTTTTTATAAAGGCCAGTGATGATGTGTCTGTTTACTCTTTGGTTGAACAAATGTAGAGAGTCTGAAAATATATGAACTTGTCATTTTTCTGTGCGTTCTTTCCCATTATGTATATATATATAGTAGGGCTGTCAGTTGATTAACATTTTTTAATCTAATTAGTTACATTATGTGGCAATTCATTCATCTAATTTATCACAAATTAAATTTGGCTGTGAAAATACCCACAAAAGATCATTTAAAGCTATTATTGTGTTAAATGAGAAAAGTATCAAGTAGATATTATAAAATGGAGCTTTAGAAATAAATATTTTATTTGATTCAACAAAATTTATTACGCAAACGTTTAGGCTACAACTGCCTAACATAAACTATGGAGCATAAAAGAAGATAATTCGAGAAACATCTCAGTATTTTTTGTTCATACAATGAAAGTCATTGGTAATCAAAACAGTCTCCATACCAAAATACCTTATTTTATGTTCTGCAAAGCAAAGTAAGACATACAGGCTTGAAACAACATGAGGGTGAGTAAATGATGACATATTTTTCATTTTTGGGTGAACTATCCCTTTAATGTTTTTTTTTTAAATGTATTATTATTATTATTTTTTTTTTTTTTTTTATTATTATATGGAAATATTATTTTTTTAATGAAATGATACTCTAAATTAGGGTTGTGCTGATAGATGATAGTATTGTGTATCGACGATAGTCAGAGATATCGACGATAGTCAGAGATATCGACGATAGCAGATGTCTGTCAATAGTCAAGACGATATTAGGCTCATTCTCCTATTAATGTATTATTAATGTATTATTAATAATAATAATAATTATTATTATTATTATTATTATTATTATTAGGCGGCCCATTATAATTCGGCTATTATTATCAAATTACCCCACTTTCTCATTCAGCACTGTATTTCACACACGCGCGCGCACAAATGAGGAGCCTGCTGCCAGTGAAGGAGTCTCCAAACACAGACACATATCGTCTGCTGATATAAGGTATTTCGTTGCACTTTAACAAGTAATCTGAACGGCCTATATATGTGCAATATTTTAACCGAGCCCTCACTAACTGAGTTTAATGCCACAGTTATGTTAGAACACATCTCATTCTTGTTTCTGTGGTGGTGCGTCTGGCTCGTCATGGGGCGCGCGTTCTGGAGCGCTGTATGACTGATGTATCCGTTCAATTTAAATTTGCTCCAAATATATGAACTTACTTGTTTTAAATACTTTATATTTAACGTGTTCGTTTATGTCCAATATTTAGTATTAAACTGTTGGTCTTTAAAATAAATCTACTTTTGATTTTCACCATTGACTGATTTTGCAGACCAGACTGATAACTTCCGTGCGTCGATGCGGCAAACTTGTCACAGGACGCGCGGTCCTAATAGCGATGTATGACTGTTGTATCCGAATATATATGAACTAGCTGTTTTAAATATTTTTGTATTTAACATGTTAGTTTATCAGTATGTTTGAAAGTATATTATTTAGATTCATGGTGCTTCCATAGGCTCCCTCTCTCTCGCGCGCGCGGTTTAAAACACCAAATAGTTATGAAATAGCCTATGACAAGTGAGAGTCTCTCACTTGTCGTCTATCGGCGATCTCATGGACTGGCGATATGACGATTTGAAAAATGACCATATCGCCCAGCACTACTCTAAATAATAAACTAAAACTGCCAGTAGGTGGCGGTAAATATCGGTTAAAAAAAATGATTGAGTCATTCATTAATTCGATTCGTACGAACTGCTGATTCATCCAGGAATGATGTAAATAGCTGTCTTTATGATTCGGCCTTTTAATCATTGGTTCACCCGATTCGTTCAAAACATGGATTCATTCAGAAACTAATCACCACTGTGTGTTGCAGTCGCACAGTAGGTCTGCTGTGGCTTTAAAGCCTAGGTAATATTTTTGTTGGTAAAATTGAGCAAAAAAAGACAACATTGTGTCATTGAGGCAACATTGAGGAAAGAAATTGTTGGAATATAAGAGTGCATACTTTAACATCTGTCTCTGTGTAAAGATTTACCTTATTCATCGTGAAGGTGAACTGAAGAAAGCCGAGCTCTGTGTCATGGTGCAAATACTGTAAATATAGCTGAACTTCTTCCAAATTAAAACAAATGATGCACTGACCTTTCTGTGCTCAAAATCCTGTTACGGTCATACATCATATGCTGGCCTACCCAGCCTACAAAGCTCAACAGTGTATTTCTGCTAACCTAACCTCAATACCGATTTATTGATTTGTATTTCATGTGTTTTTTGTTATAAACCTGTCAAGGCCGACTGGACACAGGAAAGACTTTTGAACCTTAAGTCCATTATATAACCTCTCTTCCCTTCCTCATGGCTCTTTTTAGACTGTGCAGGTTGTAAGGAGGAGATCAAACAGGGTCAATCTCTGCTGGCATTAGAGAAACAGTGGCACGTCAGCTGCTTCAGGTGTCAGACCTGCGGCCTGGTCCTGACGGGAGAGTACATCAGCAAGTGAGTGACACTCCTACTGTTGACCTGCTGGCTTTCTTTCAACCACACATTGTGTTGCACAAAGCAGCCTGTTTCTTGTGTTTGGAACCAGATTAACTCTGTTCATTTAATAAATATTTAATCACAGTTTCACTAATATTTTACACATTTGCTTCCAGTAATAGGCCTTTGTATCATTGGTATATGTGGATATAAAATATGTGGATAAATATACAATTCAATTTAGATTCAGAAATTTGTGTGGACACTTTCTCACTGTATATACATTACCATTCAAAAGTCATGTGACTCGAGTAATGGTGTTAAAAATAAATATACAAAATATTAAAATAGTTATTTTAAATTGTAATAATATTTCACAATATTTCTGTATTTTTGATCAAATAAATGCAGATTTGTGAGCATAAGAGATTCATTTAAAGACATTAAAAGTCTTACGGACCCCAAACTTTTGAATGGTAATGTGTATGTATATATACTTGATTTACTGATAAGAGGGTGCTCCTGTTGGGGACTTTCGTGAGAATAATAATAATAATAGAGTCACGGAGGTCATAGTTTTTTGGTTTCGCAAAACCTAAACACATGTATTTTATTTTTGGTAACAGTATAAGAATGTGGTCATTCATGTGAGTC